TTCTGTTTGATTCAGTCAGTAGAAAATGTTCAATTGTGGAATATGATGGGGCAGTTGCAAGGGGAATTAGCTGACTGCAAGGGCCGCTTGATTAAGCTTGAAGCTGAAATTTCATCTTTGAGATCAGCAGCTATGGAGGAGCCTGCTGTGAAAGTTGGAAATGGTGGCATTACAGTAAGGGGCCAAGCGGCGAAGCGAGGAAGGCCGAAAAGAGCAATAGCCCTGGTTGGTTCACAACTTCCATTGCAACCCAGGGCACAGGGACGAAAGCCAGCAATAGGAAGGACTAGGGAAGAAGAAGCAGACCCAACTGTTCTTGAAAAAGAAAGCTTGAATAAGGTGGATGATAAGTATAAGGATTTTAGTTCCCTTGTCACTACAGAGCAAGACAGGAATGAAGGCGTTTCTACCACCATCACTCAAGACAATGGGGCCGTGGAGACTGATGATGGTACTCTCAAGATGCCAGCTTCTTTAGGCAATCAACTTCTTCAGCAATTCCCCGAAATTGAATCAATGTCGATATTGAAATCCAATTACGAAGGTAAGCACGGTTCAAAAAAATGCTCGGAGAGTTCCTCAACGATGTCGATGACAATGTAACTAATTCAGGTTAACAAAATTTCCTATTGCCTTCAGGTATCATCTCTGAAGATTCCAAGCGAAACACGTTGAGTATAGCTTTCCCAACATTCTACACGAATGAACTTTGAAGGCGAGGAGGACACTGTCGAATTGGGATTTACTGCAGTATGACACGAAAATGAGAATGAAGAAATGGCAGATGAATTCAGTTGAAACACAAAATGGCTTCTCCTGGTGTGGCAAGTAAGTTGTAAAGGATCAATTGTTCTTCTTGTAGCTTGAATAAGTAGTAATTCGCAAATTGACGAGGCTGACACTGAATAATTCTGCCCCATTTGGCAAAGCTTCTGCCATTTAGTGGAGATGGTTTGACCAAAATTTTGTACGACGGGAAGATTGGATTCAGCTTACTTAACATGGTATGATCTTGACCCAAATTTCTTAAACAGGGAAATGATGCATATCTAGAACTTATCTGTGTTATTCTATTATGAACTATTGACTAGATTCAATTAATCAGATAAAAATGCCAATGTTATAAGAGCAAAATGAAGAAAAAATGGAGTGGATGATATGGCATGGCATGAATCCTGGACACAGAAAACATTAACAACAAGTTCTGACAGTACATATGATAATGATATCATCAATAATTTTGTCATTTTGGGAAGTACAGGAATTCTGGAAAAAGTTGTCAAGTTCCAGTGTGTGATCCGGGTACGGCGGAAGAATCTTTACTCAATCATTTTTTATAGTATAGTATAGAAGATGACGATGGATAATTTTTGTTTAAATATTGAAGGAAGAAAGCTCCTATGGTTTAAAAATAATGTTTGCCTTAATTAATGGTAGATGAAATCAACCCCTCGTTTTGTCCTACTCTAAATCTTTCATAAGTCGTGTCGAACCCTACTGTTTGGATTGGCCCTACCTTGACTCTCGCATAGTTGGGATTCACTCGGGTGATACAAATAACTGTTGTTGGATTTGGATTTGAAAGTAAAAATGGAAACTTTGAATAGATACCCATTTTGTAGGAAAAACGTATCTTCTTTAGTTTACCCATTTTGAAAAATGAAAAATTTATCTATACCCATTTTGAAAAACGAAAATTTGATCTATACCCATTTTGAAAAACCTGAAAATATGATATCTTTCTGTTTCTTATTTTACGAAGTTGGTCCCATCGGAATCCATCCCGTATGAAGAGAATAAGGTGGGCCTGCCCTAGAGAGAGAGAGTAGAAAAGTGTGAAATGAAAAGTAGAACTAGAACCAACCGAATCAAAATTGTCAAATTGAAAAGAACACCTGAGATGACGAACACGTCAGATGGGAACCCCATTTTTCTTGGCCTAAAAAAGAAATCGAATTCCAGCCCCACCATTCATTCATTTCATAGTACTGACTTGTATTGTATACATTGAGACGAGTGGAATTAGGAATTTGGAATTTGGAATTGGGACTCTCTCTCAAAAATCCGACGCCTTTCTCGCTCCAAGCTGTTAGGCAAACTCCATGCATCTCCCCCAAATCCGGGCCTCCTAATCTACATTAACCACTCCCT